ATTCAGGAGTATGTATCTAATAAAACTTATAAGTATTGCCAACTTACGCGTTTAGATAAAGAGGTTGCCATATCTTATACTTGTAGAAATATTAGTAAATAAATACGTAATACTTAACAGTCATGTTTATAATCAATTGTCACGTTTAGGTATGCAGAGGGCAATTTGAAAGCTCCAATGGTGACAATTGCTATTATTTTTGTGATGACCTATTGAGTACGTGACAACGCTAAAACATATATGTTAATATTTTAAATTTTATAAATTTTGCAGAAAAACTGTGTTTCCATTTTACTTGCCTAAGCAGCTGTGTTAAAAAGTTATTATTTGCGTATTCATATCATAATAGTATCCATTGCAGAATATTATTCACGGAGGAAATAATTATTATGTACGCGGCTTTTATTGTGGAGCAAGAAGAAATTATACAGAGAAGAAGACTCTCGGAGTTCCCCGAGACAACAGTTTTTTTTTGAACAGTTTTTACACGTTTGCAGTTCGGGGTGGTCTTCACAAAACTGAAGCTGCTCTTGTGTGGTGCGTTCATATTTTCCACGTCTGTTACTACACGAATTCATAATAAAATGAAATAAATTTTTTCTATTATAAAATTACTCACTTTCCCGGCGTTTCGTAATCCATTACTGCGGTGTATTTTATTTAAAAGAAATCCCGTCTGTCGCAGTGGCGGTCAGAAAGAACAATTAAAATGTAAACAAAGAACAGCTGTTTCACTACAGAGAAACTTTCGCCCCAATTGGCAAATAAAACGAACTTTTCGCTTGTCATTATTGACTCTACAAGATATTTTTGGTTGTCAAATCAAGACTGGCTTTATTATTCCAAAAAAGGAGGAGGTTATCAGTCCGTCGGAATATTTTTTTTTTTTTTTTTTTTTTATGTATGTTACCGCATACCTTTGGACCACGTCAACCGATTTCGATAATCTTTTTTTTTGCGTCGGAAAGGTAGTGTCTCAGAGGTGGTCCCATACTAATCTGGTTGAGATCCGATCAGTGGATCATGAGATATATATATATATATATATATATTTTTTATATGGGAGTTGAAGTCGGTTTTTTTTTACTAAAAATTACTTGTTTCAATATTCATATTCTAATCTACCTATGCTACCTCTTAATTCTATTTCTTATTTTCTAATTTCTTAAAGCTAAATTGTTGACGCTGCATTTGTATTCACATTTAGTCACGTACATGCATTCGTTCGCACGTTTGTATATTTGCTGCTGCTGCTATTGTTGCTGGTGTCAAGTGGCACATTCCACTACATATGTTAACTACCCTCGCCCTCAAATGTGGTTGCCCTCAGCCACAATTGCTGGTCAGTGTCAGTTTTTATTTTGATAATTCTGGGCTTTAACTTCATATACAATATTACTATTATGATTGCTGTGAGT